AAAAAAAACTAGTGGAATAAAGTGATGAAAGTACTGGTAAGTACTAGGCGTGATTGTATAAACACTGTTAAATCTTCTTAACAAATAACATAATTTAATTTAATTTGACTATATTAAGAATACTTATATTTTACTTCTAAAAATTTTATGAACGTGTTTAACAATTCCTATTTGATTATTTTATGTAAAACATAAATTAAAAGTTTTAAAATATTTTAATATTTCCTAATTTACTATCTAGGATACAATAGTTTATCAATAGTTACGAACACCTAATATTCGAGTCTATCTAAATATAATAATTGACTGCCTAAAATATGTTTAAAAAAACACTAATTTATTCTTGGTTTATGATTTGAAGTAATATATTATTTATTGCCAAGTATTGATGATCTATTTATTTTGTGTGGCTCTCAAACATCCGTAATAAGAGTAGTAGTGACCTAATTTAATATTATATTTGGCATCTATTGACTTTAAAACAACAATTTTTTAACAAATTTTGACACGATTACAGTTTTCTGGGCGCCCCTTTTTCCATTACACTATATGCTGATATATTTACGGACCTTAAAATAGTAGTGGCAACTAAGTAGTGTTGGCATTAATAGTGGTATAATTCCATACACAGTATATTATTTTATTTAAATTTTTTAACGGCTTTAATACGTCAGTGTTGTGAGGTATTATTACGTGTTAAAATATTAGAACAAAATTTGTTTGAAAAGACAAAGATCAGCTTTAACACATTATAGTACGAACTGTCAATAGTTGGTTTTCGAAATTTTGAGTTTTTCTTAAGAGATGTGGGATAATCGAAACCGATGATATGGTGTAATATACATACATTCATAAAATAATTGTCATTTTTTATGAAAATAGATGCTGAGTTCAAAACTTTAATACAAATGTTTTTAGAAAATTATTTATGCCAATCAAAAATAGTATAGAAGAATCTCTATACAAAAGCTAAAAAATTGTTAACTTTGAAAGTAAAAAAATTCAATGTATTTGACAGAAGAGATTTTAGTATTATAGCTTGAGGAGATTAACTTTTCAAAACAATTATTAAATCAGAATATATCGTCTTTCATATGTACTCAAATACTACATACTACTTAAATTTACTGAAATGAACAAAAATTGCAAAAAGGGTATTCTCTGTCCAAAAGATATATATATTTGTTCAGAACAATACATACAAAATTTTATATTGTTAGTTAAGCAATTCTTTATAATCATACATTTCCTATAATGCTATATATAATACATAAGAAAAAGGAGATGTAATTCAACAAAAAAAAAATTACACAACATTTCTACGACATTAAAGGATATATGCGAACATTCGTTTATTTAGTGACTAAGTTTATTATCTAACAAGCATCCTTTGTGCTTCTTCTTAATATAAAAGAAGAACTTTATAGTAAATTCGTTTCTACCTTTCTCAATATGTATTCTTAATTACATATAGAAATAATATATTCTTCACACCAATCAATTTCAAAAATTTAGTAAATTTGTCGATTAAAAAACTACCAGAAAATTCTAATAATTCTGCCTCTCTAATTAATATTTTCTTTTAAAATATGTTTTTTTTAATATTTAATATATTATGCTTTCATCGAAATTAAAAAATAAATTACAGCATTCCTCACATTATTATATTACACTTAACTTCATACTTGTTCAAAATTTGAGTGCAATTTGACTTTACAAATGGATTTTTAATCTTATTAAATCATTATATTAAAATGTAGTCAAATTTTCTACATTTCCGTTTAGTAATATATACATATATCTAACAAGCACCAAAAAAGTGCTGCTATACTGCATATAAGTGTAGTACTGAAGCAATTTAATTGTTCAGATTTTTATTATCATTTACTTTTTTTTTTATAGATTTCTTTATATAAAAACAGTTTTTAGGTTAATTTAATAATAAAAGATGTTTAGGATAATTGTATATGTACATCGGTTATTAAAACATTTTTGATAAAATTAAAGTAGTTTAGGAAAAGTTATAAAAATATAATTTTGAATTTGGAATATGTTGTAATTTAGTAAAAATGTTTATGAGTTAAAGAATACGGTTTGGGTATTAATATATTCTAAGAGTTTAGTTCCAATACTGATAGAGTTTTAAGTTAAGGAGAGTATGTTTTTCGTGAGATTGAAGTCTCATTCTGAAGTACCAAATTTTATAGTTTAAGTTGTTAGTTAGATGAGAATTGATATTTGTATATCATAGGTTTTAGACCAATTTTGCTAGCATAGCTAGAGAGAATAAAAAAAATCTTTTCTTTCTGTTACAAATAATCTAATAATAACAAACTTATAAACTTTTATTATGTCAGTTATAATCAACTTTACAAACTTTTCAAATAGAAATGTGATATGAAATCAGCAGTTGACCTAGGGAAAACCGAATATTGTCATTATGAGTTCTAACTTATGTTGCACAATTTTAATGCGTATCTTTTTGGTAACTAATGTAAAGTCTAGAACGAAATTGATGTCACAATAGTTTGGTTAAAAAGATTACCGTTCAGTAGCAATTTAAAGGCCTAATATGTGTATATAACACTAAAGTCGAAAACATCTCTCCGGAGTTGTGATTTTATAAGTGATATTAAAACAAAAAATAATTAACGTTGAATAATTTTTTCACAATTTATAAGATGACATAAAATGATGACTGATTAAATTGACTAGAATTTTTTATTGTTAAACTTTTATATTTGTTTTGAATTATAAACATTTGAAGTTTTATAACAATCGAAAATATTCCTTAAAATTCTTTAAAAAAAATAAACTTAGAGTATTCGTAAAGGCTTTCTTCGTCTTCACTTATTTACGTGTTTACTTTTATGGTTTTAATTATTTATTCAAATAAATTGCTTGAAATTCTTGGATATTGCATTCAACATTCAGAGGTATGTAAACAGGAAAAAAATAATACAGCGCAATTATACTTGAATATGCAGTAACCCATTCGCAAGCACTACAACATTTCAACACCTTTTGGTGGCCTCGTATTTATGACCGCCCGATAAATAAACAAACAAAGAAAACACAAACAAAAACACTTTATGTATTTATTGTAATAAAAAAAAAAGAAACAAAATGCGCAAAACAAAAAAATATAAAATCAAAACCAATTGCATAGATCTGTTCTGATTAACAATAAATAAACAAATACACATTTACACATTTACACAGCCATAATAACACTACACACCCACATTTGTTTCTGGTTTTATTCATAAGTCATAACACATACATAGTCACTTACCGTTGTCTCTTTCCTTTGCATTGTTTTCGTTTACGAATACTGGATTGTCTTGCCCATTCTCATCGGTTGGTTTCCACTTTTCGCGATTATCAATAAGGAACTGTTGTATCGTTACTGGACCCTCGTAAAAGTGTTTATCACCAAAGGTAACATCTGTGGAATTTGACAAAGCAATGCTACCGATTTGTGGCGGTGCAACTGGTGTCAATGCACCCAATCCTGGTGGTTGTAGGTTGCCATTAAGTATATTTTCAGCCAATGGACCAACACCAGCTGATAAATTTCCATTTGGATTTATTCTTTGGCTGATCACTGTTAGACCTTTATTTATGTTTGGCAAGTCTGGACTATCTGGTGCTAATGTTGTTTGTTGGCCTAGCTTTTTTACTATATAATTACTGTGTACTCCTTCAGCGTCTGCTTCACACTCTGAGTCTGAGTCCACAATACTTGAGTCTATGGCATTCTCATCGATCGAAACTATCGATATCGACATACTGCGTATAGATACTGCAGGTGAGCAATGTTTTGAGTTGGGTCTACTGCAATTTCTGGTACTACTCCTAGTCTGCCAATTCTTTTGTGCCTCAACATCGTCGCTAGATGGCGTTTTTGTTATGTTTATTATATTTTCTATACTTAAATTATTATTTTTATTTGCATTAAATTTATCACTTTTATTTTGATTATTTTTTAATAATTTTGGGCTCGATTTTTCGTTTTCAATGTGTAGCCCATTATCAATGTTTTTTTTCGCTTCCTCATTTGTATTATCTTTTGCAATTTTGCTTGTTGTCAATGTTGTTGTAGCGTTGTCATTGCTATTGTTGTTATTGTTACTATTGCTGTTGCTGTTATTAAATGTTGTTTTGTTATCAATAATAATTACACCAGAGTCTGTAGATGATGAACAACTCGTTGCTGCTGATAAATGATTTCCATTCGAGTTCATTTCATTATCATTTTTTAAATGCATTTTCTTATACAAATTTGTAATTTTTGTTTTGTTTTTAGTCAATTAATTATTTTTTTAAATCGATAATTAATTACTTTTTTTAGTATTTTAAAAATTTGCTTGTTTAGAGCATTTTTTTAAAATCATGTAATCATTTTTTTCATTGTAGTTTTTAACTTTTTTTTATTTAGTTCTCTTCTGTGATCGATCCATGAATCACACAATCATTTTATGTTTTATGATGGAAAAATACTGAAATTTAAATAAAATTTGTTTTTAATTTATTTGCTATTAATTTGTTTTTTTTATTTGTTAAAAAATTCCAATTATTTCTATAATAGCGCTATTATAAAAAAGTACTATTTTTATATTATTTGAAATTGTTAAAAAATTTTTAGAATAATGATTTCCAATTAGTAGGGGCTTTAGTAAAGATATTCTTCACATAAATATATATAAATATATTCTTATGTATGGTTGTTTATATCGAAACTCATACGTGTTAAGTAGTATATATTCTTAATAAATTTCTCGAATTTCCCAATAAATAATTATTGATATTCACGTGTTTGATATGTACGTGTAACGAGTAATTATTAATGTATATAACAGGAAGTGAAGTAAAATAAAATATATATCTACAACTGATTTTGTTGGTAAGATTCTGAAAAATATTTAAAAAGTTTTTTTATATACTGAAGACTTCCTGTATTATCATTTCAGCAGTTTAGTCTATAGTTTCAAAAAGAGATATCAAGATCTCAAGATCTTATCAAGATCTTATACTGAAGACTTCTTGTATTATCATTTCAACAGTATAGCCTATAGTTTCAAAAAGAGATATCAAGATCTTATTTGTAATTTATAGTATAAAATAAAAAATTTCAGATATCAACCCTACAGAAAATATAGGGTTAATAGTGAAGGAGGAGGAACTGGTATGCTTTTATTGTGAATAAGTGTAAATTACCAAATTTTATTAATAGTTGAATATAGTTATGAATAACTACATAATAATATAACATGAAATAATCATTATCACTAACAATGTTCTGACCGACAATATATATGTTAAAACCAATATGTTTATTTTCAAAAACATTATACTAAATATGAATTTTTCAGAACTTTTATAAAGTGACTTTGTAATTACAATTGCATTTACAAAACACTGCTAACATTATAAAAACGTTTTTTATATAAAATTTTTAATAAAGATCATTAACTAACTAATTAACTAACTATTTAATTATAGTTAACAAGAATAGAAGTTAAAAGCCTAAGTGAAGGGACTAATTAAAAAAAAGTAACAGAAAAAATCATTCAATTAAAAATATCGCCTTATATAAATATGTATACAACTCAGAATCTTCTTTTAATCTAAATATCACTTAAATAGTTTGAAAACAGAACTTTTATGTATTTATTAAGCAACGGTATGTAGGGATTTACATTGTGTGTGCTACAAACAAGGTTAGAAAATATCGAGTTATATTATTTTATCTACACAGCTGTGTTTTAATACATATTTTTAAAATTTTAATACACAGAAAAACAACGGGAACAGTTCTATTAAAGCAATTTATAAACTTATAATTAATTTTAGATATATTAAGAATTGTTTAAACATTTTAAATTTTTGAATTACAAAATGTGGTGTATCATTATTAAATAATTATTTACTTGCATATAGAAAAAAATAATATTTACACATGATTTGCAAATTTTTATAATGAGTAAAAATTTTGTAAAATGTTTTATTGAAGTTCACGAACGTCATTAAGACATACCTAAAATTTGTAAAATAAACGCAATACATGACTTTCAACGGTCATTCATACAAAAAGGCTTGGTCTATGATGTCATTACATTATATACCATATTGAAATATTTTATCAAGAATAAAGTGCATGTAAACATTTAAAAATAAAAAAATTTAAATACCTTATCGTAAGGTATAGAAAGGTACAGAAAAAGGTAAATAAATATATAATAAAAAATAATATTAAATATGAAACTAAATAACACAGTCTATATTTTCGTTTTATAAAAATGTATTAATATTTTTATATAAAACGTATGTTATTTCAGACATATATATATATATATATACATGTATTTGAAAGTTTATATTCTGTTTCTCATTAACATTTGGTTCTTCTGATCAAAAAGAACGCAGAGGCCTATTTTTGATTCCCCGCGCTTATCCATTGGTAAATTTTTTTCTTTTCACTGCTGGCAACACTATCACAAAAAATTTAACGCATATCGTACGATTAGTTTTTTTTGATCACAAGGTGATATATTAGTGTTAGATAGTGTTTGCAGAAACAAATTTATTTAATCAAATTAATTTGTAGTAATTTTTAAAATAGTAAGATGAAATATCATCGAAAGCAGATGTAGCGGATGTTACTTTTGCGGATGAGAATGCATATGAGTATTTGATGAAGTTTGAATATAAAATTAGATGAGGGAGCGGACATATAGTTTTTAAATTTTAAAGAATGAAAATGCGAAATGTTATTAACTTATTTAAATAAGTTAATCGAAGAAAATGTTATGGACCTTTTTTTCATTTGCATACCTATACGGTCGTTTTATGTGTTCACCGAGTATATAACTTAAACTGTATTATCGTATTGAATTATTATTTATTTTGATATCCTCAAACACTTGGGGCTTATCAAAAGTTCATGCGATATATGAACCTGTGTTCAAACAGACATAATGGCTTCAAACAGACATAATGGCTTATTGAACAAATTTACTTCATATTATGTATATTTTAAAATGAAGTGTTAGGATAGTAAATAACTGTGGCTAATATTTTGGAAAAAATTTTGGAAAATCGAAGGTTGAATGCAGCGTAGCATACAGTTACCCATTTAGGTAATTATGTAAAGGTCATTAACTTGAAGGCATAAAATTATAAGTGATGTTTAATCTATTCGATTATACGCGAGTTTTAACATTTAAAAAAGTTTCTCATGTCTAAATCCCCGTACATTGTTTTAATATTGAAAGTGGAATCCAGTAACACACCTCTCTCCGTTTCTCTCTCAGTCAGCACAGTCTCTCCAAACTATCTGATTTTTATTTGATTGGTATACTTTTCGGATATTTTCTGTGGTGATAGTTTTTTGTTAATCTTAGAAGACTTTTCATCAACTAAACTTTTACGATCTTGTTTGAAATCAGCCACTGTAAATTTTATTTAATTTGGAAGACTTCTTGTTGCTCTTAATTATCATTAGCATTTCAAGTTGGACAGTGAAAAAAAATATTAAAAATAATTTTGACAATATGGTTGCCGTTCAAAAAATTTTTCACATATTTTAAATATTTTTTCCCCGCAAAAATATTTTTCCATCATCGGTACAAAACATTGCGAATATCCGGTTTTTCATTTATTGATTTTAGGGTTTAATGAAACTGATATTTATACACTATATTTTATTTATTTATTTCAAACCTTAATACGATAAACCTTTGCAATTAAAACTATGTTGGTTTTGTACAATTTTCTTAATTAAAATAATTAAATCAATCATTTTTATTTTTTTTTTAATATTACTTTAATTATATTAGTAGTAACTTCTATATAATAAAAATATTTCATATACTAGCAGAATTTTTCTATAATAATTTATTATTTTATTTTAATACTTACATCAAGCTGAATAGATATTAGAGAACATAACACTCTAAACGTGTCTTCTTCTACTAATTTAAAAATAAAAATATATTCCCTATTTCCTATTATATACTAAAAACTTTAAGTATTTTATATTACTACAAACTAATAGCAATCAATTTATTAATGATTTGCGCAATAAATTCTAATGATCTTTTTAACATTTTAGTGTAGATTTTCTCTGGTTCACATAGTCGGGCTTTTCCAATTAAAGGTGAATGAAATAAAAACAAAAACTGAAATACGTCATAATAAAGTACTTGCATTTAAAAATCTTTTTAGAAAAATTTATAAGCACAAACAGTATTGCATTTATGTACATCAAGTATCTTATATTTTAGTATATTGGCTCTCATTTTTTATTTTTTTTTATTTGTATAGCTTCCTAAGTAATTCATTGGGTTTTTCCGATTTCTAGTTAACATTTACATTACTCAGCTGTAATTATTTTAAAACATTGTTAATTCGCTTTAAAGTTGCTCAATATTCATATGGGAAGAGTTTTGAATATTCAAATGATATAGAGTATTTATGATTCAATTACAGTAGTTAATATAATATTATAAATGCATATGACCACAGTTCACAAATATGACTAACAATTGAGAGCTATTGCTATAACCGCAGACTCTTATATAGAACACGTAGATATCTTATTATTTACGTGTTATTAGTAAGTAAATATTATAAATAAGTATTGATAACATTAAAAGATTATGCTAGTTAGACTTCAATAAGAGTTGTAAGTTATTTTTGATTAGTATATTTCTTTTATATATAATCCGTATATGTGATCTGTTCCGATTAAACATTAATGCATCAGTTTTCAAAAATGGTGAAATCAAAACTTATAAAGCACTAGTTTATATACGATATTATATTATATTATAGAATTGTAATTTCATTATAAATATAGCTCGTTAGTATCATTCTCATACTGAAATACAGTGATACTGATTTTTAATTATAAAGAATTTTATATGGTAAGATATTGTTACTTATACAGGGTGTTGTTCAACCAAATGACATAAATGTGGGAGGTGATTCATTGATTTAAGCAAGAAAAAAGCTTGGAAGAATCGGAGGATAGCATTTGCAGTATTTACCAAGATGTAGGATGTATAGTAGAGGTATATTTTTTGTAAAAATATGTACTTAAATATTATAACTCCTCAGATAGCTTATTATTATTATTATTGTTAGGGGATGTGGCATTAAGTATCATAAAAGTTGATAACTCACATATGAGCAGTTAAATTGAAATAATGATGACTATATTTTTTATCAATAAAATCAATATAATATGAACAATTTTTTTGTCATAAAATAAATCAAGGATCGATTTAGTAATTAATTTGTCATAATG